TTAATTATTACTCAAATTATTATTTCAGTCATTCTTAATGTATCAAGTGTCTATATGCAAAGAAAAGCCAAAAACTATATAGCCTAAAGATGCTTTGCGGGCTTTACGGCGGGCCTGTGTTGAGCAACAGACACTTGTATAAGGATTATACATAGTAATTGCTGAAACTGAAGCATTTTAAGATTACTTATTTTAATATTCCAATTTCAGGATGGGCACACAGCTCTCCACTATGCCGCTGTTTTACCGGATGGGAAACAAATGTACAATATGTTGATTGATGCAGGTGTCAATCCTGGAATTCCTGATGGCGTAAGCTAATACATTATTAGTTTATTTACAACTTTCTTGTCTAAATGTCTCCAGCTTTACTCCACCCACTATACATCAGACTGACATAACCTTCTACATCCCAATCCCTGATATGTCTCCAGGTCTCTAATAATAAAAAAGAACCTGAAAACTGTATAAACGCAAAATACACAGAATGAGCCTAAAGTTGATTTATTTTCTTGTTAATATTACCTTCATCAGCTCACATAAGAAACAGTATATTAGTCTAAGAAAGTTAAGTGTTTTCTTCTTGAAACGTAACACAAACAGAGAATATTCAGTGATAAAACTTTCATCTGTAGAATTATATAATAACAGTTGTTACATTTTATTGTCTAGTATAAATTTCAATTGTCATTATTATTATTATTCAAGACTTCCCTTATGTACCAGTATAATACTGAGTTTTCTTTTTATCTACTAGTTTACCAGTACCTTTTATAGACCACATTAACACCTTCATTTCTATACATTATTGTTAATATATACTAGTTTATAAAATACACCTCTGATGTTATGTACCACTATAACACCCAGTAATGTATATTAATGTTGTTATGTACCACTGTAACACCCAGTAATGTATATTAATGTACCACTATAACACCCAGTAATGTATATTAATGTTGTTATGTACCACTATAACACCCAGTAATGTATATTAATGATGTTATATACCACTGTAACACCCAGTAATGTATATTAATGTACCACTATAACACCTAGTAATGTATATTAATGTTGTTATGTACCACTGTAACACCCAGTAATGTATATTAATGTACCACTTTAACACCCAGTAATGTATATTAATGTTGTTATGTACCACTATAACACCCAGTTCTATATGTTGTTGTTGTTGTGTATGTGCTATAACACTCACTTATATATATTAATGTTATGTACCACTATGACACCCAGTTCTGTGTACTAATGTTTTTGTGTACCACAATAACACACAGTTCTATATGTTGTTGTTGTTGTGTACATGCTATAACACTCAAATCTCTGTGTATTAATGATGTTATGTACCATAATTACACTTATCATTCTATATGTCAGTATTTGTGTGTAGCATTGTAACTTTCAGTTTTATACATTAGTGTTGTTTACCACAATAACACTCACACTTCTAGTAGTACCATGTGTGACGTTTTTATGTACCAGAGCTCTAACTAATCACTTTAAAACTAAACATTTTGTTCATGATTGTTATACCAGTAATGTTCACAATTATCTTAACGACTAGTGACTGTTCTTATGTAACATAGTAACTTTCGGGCTCTTAAACATGAGTACTGTTACACACAACTATAACACACAGTTCTATACGTGCCTGTTATATATATATATACATAATAGGTTTTATGTCCAAACGTGTTTGTGTGCATATATGTAATTGTATGTTATATATATATATATATGATTATTATCTTCTATTGTATTATACACCGTTGTATTTTTGACTGTTATTTATTCTAAATAGTTTTGCTACATACAGCTTTCTATCTATATAATAACTTTATAAGTTTTATTTTCTGCTAAATGATCCCAGAAAGGGAAACCATCAGAATATTATGTACAGTATCCTGAGCAACTTAGCCTGGCTCAACTTATCAAACGAAGCCAACGAGTGAATGCCAATTTTATTGCCAATGCCACTAATCGGTTCCTGTCGAAACATTCTACAAGTACGTGTAGTTCAATATCTTTAATTTTACGGCAAACTTGTCACTTTGTGACTGTCTAGTATTCCTATAACCAATGATTTGTTATAAACTATGCATCATACCTAGTGACTTCTTTCTGGTGTTCTAGTCTCAGCAAATTTACTCTGATGTCGCATGCTTGCATGCAATACCAATGTAGTCTAAGCTTTGTTCACTCTGTTACAGCATACTTGTTAGTAACTCTCTGGTATTGTTGTAGCTTGAGAATTTTTTTACACGGTTACAGCATACTTGTTAGTAACTCTCTGGTATTGTTGTAGCTTGAGAATTTTTTACACGGTTACAGCATACTTGTTAGTAACTCTCTGGTATTGTTGTAGCTTGAGAATTTTTTACATGGTTACAGCATACTTGTTAGTGACACTTTGGTATTGATGTTGTCTGAGAATTGTTCACTCTGTTACGGCATACTTGTTAGTGACTCTTTGGGTATTGTTGTAGCTTGAGAATTTTTACTCGGTTACAGCATACTTGTTAGTGACTCTTTGGCATTAATGTTGTCTGAGAATTGTTTACTCTGTCACAGCGTACTTGTTAATAACTCTTTGGTATTAATGTTGTCTGAGAATTGTTCACTCTTTTACAGCATACTTGTTAGTAACTCTCTGGTATTGTTGTGTTAGTGACTCTTCGGTATTGTCGTAGCTTGAGAATTGATTACTCGGTTATAGCATACTTGTTAGTGACTCTTTGGTATTAATGTTGTCTGAGAATTGTTCACTCTGTTACAGTATACTTGTTAGTAACTCTCTGGTATTGTTGTGTTAGTGACTCTTCGGTATTGTCGTAGCTTGAGAATTGATTACTCGGTTATAGCATACTTGTTAGTGACTCTTGGGTATTGTTGTTGTCTGAGAATTGTTCACTCTGTTACGGCATACTTGTTAGTGACTCTTTGGTATTAATGTTGTCTGAGAATTGTTTACTCTGTCACAGCGTACTTGTTAGTGACTCTTTGGTATTGATGTTGTCTGAAAATTGTTCACTCTGTTACAGCATATTTGTTAGTAACTCT